GGGCTCGCGCGGCCGCGCGACAGGGCGCTTGACCTTCGCGTCGGACCCGTTGACGGTTTTTTCTCATGCGTAACTCGCAGATGCGCCTGATCCGCAGTTCCCACGTTTATTCCCAGCGCCGGGGACCGCTTTGTGTATGTGTGTGTGTAAGCGCGGGGGGCGCTTGTGCCGGGCGGCCGAGCCGGGAGGCGGCCAGTGCTTTGGGCTTGTTTTGGTCGCTGTGGGGGCGGAGGAGTCGCTGATACACTTTGGGTCGAGTCCAACTAAAGAAGTCGTCACTAGTTATGCAGTCTATGGAATAGTTGTAAATCAAGCTTACGGTCAGGCAGGTCTGTTACGCTGCCTCTACTGCACCGAGCTTACCGAGTTCCCTTATGTTGCCTCTTTCTATTTTTTTTTTCTTTCCACCCACAGAAATCCTATGAGCACTTGGCAAAAATAAGAGTAGCAAGAGACGCGCCTCCAGAGTGCAACTGCCCACCAGGTAACATGCACAGTTTGGCAATCTCCTCATCTATAGGAGATTTATGATTCTTTGGGTTTGGGTATTCTGTGTTCCTCAAACACATGTAATAAAAAATACAAGTCAAACAGAGGGGTTGCCTTTTCTGTGAATAAGTATGCCTTGAGTGGAAAAGGTGTAAAGCCAGAATTTTATATGGCTTGCCCTGTAGCACTGAACTGGAATTAACAGTAACAGAAACTTCAGTTAGACTGGGAGGTGCCTAAAAGTAACACTTATGAAGAAATTAATGATATATCCTAGCAAAAAGAAATATATTCTGTCTTTAGTGCTGTAACACTGAATCAAGGCATTGTGCACTCATGTGGGCAAGTAGAATAAACATTGTTATTGAGAGTACTGCAAAACTTACAGTAGGCTCTTCATTTATTTTAACACATTTTTAAATCTTCAGTAGTATATGCAAAAGCTTTTCAGTAATGTCTCCATGGTTTGTTATTTATTTATTGTCCTCATGGGTAAAATCAGCACCTCGAAGAAAGCACTGTAACTTTAATATTGAGGATTCAAAGTTCTATTTACACAGCCAAGGATGTTGCTTGCCTTTGAAAATGAGCCCTGCATCCCTAATACTGGGGTTATAGTACAATACTTATTTGTACACGCAAATGGTATAGTACTATGCTATAAGTTTTTCATGATTTTGTTAATAGCCAAGTAACTGTTCGATGTTCTAGCTATAAGAATTTCTGCTAATATGTCCCCAAGTTTAAAAGGGTATTTTAAAAATACTGAAACATAATGCTAACACTTCCATGCAGTAATTCTAGTATCCTCTGTTTGAAAAAGCACAATGGACGTATAGGATGCTTTATGCATCCAGCCATTCTGGATGAGGAGAAATCTCATCTTCAAGTGGAATACTGACATTCAATAAGAATTAAGCTAATGATGATGTTTGGTAACTCCAGCACTTTGTATTTTACTGGTAATGCAACTGACAGCAGAGTGCTCTACAGGCTGGAATAAGTATTACTGTGGCTAGTGTGAAAAGGGCTATATGTTGGTCTAGGACTCTTTTAAAAGAATGGTTAGAATTACTCAACTCTTCTCTAGTTATGGTAAGAAACACTGTTCTCCTGAATTGCATTTTATAAATATATATATATGTATATTTAAAAGCTAACATGAGCGTATAGGTCTTTTTAATGTCGTTTAACTGCTTAACTGGAATAAATACTAAGACTCAAGCTTGTGTACTGAAAATGAGAATTGTTTATCAAGTTGTGTGCAAAGGCGTAAGCAGTGAGCCTGAAACTCAATTGAGTTTGTTTTCAAGCTGTATCACTTCTAATAATCATTACTGTTTCAGAGTAAAGGTCTGTCTCTGCTGTTCACATTTGGGTTATATGCTGCTTTACTTCCCCACTACCACTAGAGCTCCACATTATACCAATTATTATGTGACCTTAACTTTTAAGTATATTTTATCAGAGAGTTAATGAGTAATAGAATGTTTTTCACGTGCTTTGTAAAAATCACCATTGTATGAAAGTTTCACAGATCATTTTCTTCTGATGTTTTCAGGTATGTGAGACTCATTAGATGAGGCAAATGTGTATGAATAACTGTCAAATATTTTTACAGGGAAGGCTAGCTGTTATGGGGGCTAGAAACATGATATGGAGCCCTTCACCTCTTGATTGCTATTTCAGTTTGGAGGAAAGTTTTATAGAGGTTGAAAGATAATGCCCTTTCATAACTCCATCTTGGACAGCTTAAAATGAGTTGGTGTTATCATGCATGTATCTGGTGGACAGGGGTGTATCTCAAACTGGCATTTTCTTGGAAGCCTTATTTGAGAAAACTGGGGCTGAAAAGCACTGCTATCCAAGTACTGTGCCTTCCCAACTGCAGTACTTGTCAAGGTTGTGTATCAGACAGCATAAGAAGGGCAGGGCAAATAATGTTGTTAGTTCATTTGGATAACTATTGTAAATCTCACACAGTAAATCATACCTTCTAGAATATGACTCATTTGCTTTTAGAATTGTTTTTATAGTGGACATGGTGAGATCTATTTCTGTTTTCATTGTTAATGCTGTTATTACTTCTATATTCAGAAAAGCGTGTGGCTTAACATAAGAAGGAATATGGAAACTTGGTCGTCTTTTTTTTTTCCCCCCCTCCCCTGTTGCTTGCTGTTTCTGAACCTCAGAGTAAATTACATCTGCCCCATGTGATTCCATTTTTGCTGCTTTATTCTGCTCAGCTTCTGCAGTTTTTCACTGCAGTTATATGAATACAGTACATGTCTGTTAGGGATAAATTTTGGAAAGCCTTCATGGAACAAACATGCAGAGGTGATTTTGAAAGATCCCCTATGTTGTGAGAACAAGGCTGCTGCCAAATGGCCATCAAGGCATTTTCCATCCTTCTGTTCTTTAAAGAGAAATAAAGATTATTTGAGAATAGGTTACACTGAATTTCCCTTCTCCCATTTGGTAGAAGACAGTCTGTGAGCTGGAGAGTGAGAATGTGGCTGCTGATTAGGATTGAAGTTCTGTAACTGGTGTAGACATCATTAGCTTGAGATAGTCATCCTCTTGTGGTTCTCCATGGTAGGATCTCATGTTCAGATGAAGCTGGATTTTGAAAAGTTTGGATGTTAACAGCAGCCAAATTTGCAGCTTCTTACAGTTTGCAAAGCTGTCCACATGTGGCTGCTCGAACTTAATAGTAGCTTTAAACTTTGTCTAGACTGAAGAGTGGTTGCATTTCTCTTCTAAAGACTCTAACATTTTCATTAAATGTGTAAATTTAATGTGTTTTCAAATAATTATTTTATTTATAAAAGCAACAAATTGTAAGGACATGTTAGTTTTGATTTCAATTCTGTAGGACTAAAACAAGAAATATTTACAAATTCTTTGGTAGCTAAATTACAATAGCAGGCATTTTTTCTCTTCTTAATGCAGGGCAATAAAGTTTGAAATGTAAATGCATACTGGCATTCCTTTAAAATTACCTCAGTTCTAACAAGAGTGCCAGCATAAATCCCCTGCTTGCAACCAGTGCTGCAGTCACTGCTGGCAATTGGCCTTCTGCACATAGGACTGGGGGGCAAATCGAATGGCTAAAATTATTCTGAGCTTAAGTTTGTTTTGCTTTGTCCCAGAGATTTAATACTTGCTGCAAATTAGTGTTTCCTGACTGTAAAAGATGAACAAAAATTGTTTAACTGATTAATATTGAAGTCTTTCTTTAAATGGTAGTGGCGGCATAATCAGATTTTGTGAGGTGCAGTCAACCACAGTACTGGGTACTTCCTACCAACTGCCAAGAACTCTGCTGTTGTGGAAGGTGTAACACCCACAGAAAAGCATGGGGATGCTTCTGCTTCAGGACAAGTTAGTAATTAATAACTTGTAGTAGGTTTTTCAGAAAGCACTGAAGCCTATGCCTAGAACCCACAGTCTTCAACATCAATTAAGTGTATGCTTGCATGTTACAGGAGTTTGAGTCTTGATGTATTGTCAGGGTGAAGTTACGATGCTTGTGTTCGTGTGTCATGATGTCTCATTCTGTAAGTAATCCTCAGAGGGATTACTCTGCTTGGGGAGTTGGATCACGGAGTTGTTGAGATTGGAAAGGACCTCTGGAGATCATCTAGTCCAACTCGCCTGCTCAAGCAAGATCACCTAGAAGATGTTTTCCAGGATTGCGTTCCGATGCTGTTTGAAAATATCTAAGGAAGGAAACTTCCTAACTTCTCTGGGTCATCTCTGTGTTCAGTCTCTCTCACAGTGAAGTTGTTTTTGATCATGTTCAAATTAAATTTCTTGTGTTTCAGTTTGTGCCTGTCTGAACACCCTTCAGAAGCTATTATGCATTGATAAGATCCCTCCTCAGCCTTCTCTTCTCCAGGCTGAATGGGTCCAGCTCTCTCAGCCTCTCCTCGTAGGAGAGATTCTGCAGTCCCTTAATCATCTTAGTAGTAATCTGCTGGACATCCAGAGCTCCATGTCTGTCTTGTACTGGGGTGCGCAGCACTGCAGATGCAGCCTTACCAGGCTGAGTAGAGAGGTCATCAGACCTCTTTCACCTGCTGGCAACACTCTTCTTGATGCTGCCCAGGAGACCATTTGCTTTCTTGGCGCTGGCTCATGGTCAGCTTGTTCTCTGCCAGGACCTTCAAGGTGATGGTGGCAGGAATAGGGTTCTAAGTCTATAAATCCAAACTATTCAATCTTGGTCATCTGACTAACCTTACTATTATGTACAGGTTTGCATATGTCTCTTACTTTGGTTTCAGTAGCAAAGCTTCTGTTTAATTCAGTAGAAACAAGAAGGGTTAGAATTCCATGGTCATGGGCCAGGGTAATTATCATTTGATTTGTATCCCTAGAAATTCTCTTAACACATTTTCAGAAATGTGTCGGCTTATTATATTTGCTTTATTTTGGAAGCAGTGATACTTTTTTTTTTTTCCCAGCTTTTAGGAAAGACCTCTATAGCATGGACTAATTCCTTAAAGGAAAAAGGAAGAAGGAGGAGAAAAAAATGCCTATATCTGTGTTTTTTTTAAGTCTTCCTTCCTTGGTTATTCAGATAATTTTAGCTTCAAACTCTTTATAGTCATGAACACTGTCATCATTCTTCTTTACTAGCCTGCTCTTTTGGCCTATTTTTGTGATCTTGTTATCTCGCTTCCCCATCCCAGTCTTAAAGTTCCTTAGCTTTGGCATTTGAAGAGACTCCTGATTGTCAATGGCCAGGTTTTAAGTTTGGTGCAGTTGTGTGTACATGAACCTGCCCATTCAGCAGATGAAACACCATCACGGGCTAAACTGTTTCAAGCATAGAAAATAGCAGTTAGTTATTCTGGCTGTGGTAATTCTATTCTAGTGGGAAAATAGTATTCTGCAGTTACTAACATTCTATGATACGAATGTGCTGTATATATTTTGGGAGGAACATGGTTGGTGAAAATCAATGCAATTTCTTAACATGCCAGCATT